TCGCAGACTTTTATTTACAATGACTGCGAGGATACGCATAAGCTTTTGGTGGGCACAAATTGGTACTTGCTTGGCTAAGGGCGAGAACGAAAAGCTGATGTTTTTAGCGGTTCAAATACCACTGCTTGTTTTTGGGCACTGGCATAGCGTTTGATGAATGCTAAACCGAGATCAATGATAGCAGTTTGCTGCTTATTTCTGTTTACCCTTTTTTTTTTTTTCTTTTTTTTTGCTCTTCCTTAAGCCATTGTTAACTTACTAAGAAGACGAAGATGATGGCGGCAACAGCATAAGTGGCAGCAGCGGTAAAAGCTTTGATATTACGAACGGTAGAGCGGATCAGCAACTTATTACTTAAATTGGCTACAGGAATAACGCAGGTGCTAGAGTAGGAAGGCAACAACTGTATACCTGAAACTTAGTGTAAGATCAGTTCAGATGACCACCCGGACTTGAGCAAGTAAATATCAGCGGCGACGAGCGCTGCAGTATCAACGGCTTGTGCATTCCTCTCTGGGAGCGGGCGAAGGTGCGTTTTTTTAATTCTGCGCTATAGGGAATTTTGCTGGCCGTCAAATGACGTCATCGGACATAAAGACGTTCTTTCAAGTCATTGTGGCATTTTCATGCGTAGTGCATTCGTTTTTTTACTGCCCTATTCCAGCAGTCTGTTCTAATAGATTTGGCTTTTGATGCTGTTTTGATCAACCGTTTTTGCTAATACTTTGATATTTAGTAAAGACAGATGGAAGTTTTTTGTCGTTTTTTTTGTGCTATTGTTGAGGGCACTGGTTCATTTCACTTTTTCTTTTTTTTTTTTTTCTTCCTGCGAACGCTTGGTATCTTAGTAGACAGAAATACAAACAGTCGTTTTTCAACGTTCTTAATTAAACTGATGGTTCACCGAAAAATTTTAAATATTGAACTTGTGCAAGTCGAATAAACAACAGCGGTTGATTGGTTTATCTGATGGATACAGTCAAAATTTTAAACGAAATGTATTTTAGCACAGCCGTACGGTTTATTGATAGCAAACACAGGTCGGAGATGGATGCCATAACGGTTGGTTTTTTCATGGTGGCCAGTATTCTGGTTGTCGGGTTAATGCTATTCATGTTCAAATCATTTGGGAAGGAAAAGGATCTTGAAGAAGTATGGTTATTTTTTTGCCATTGATAATATCTGTTGAAGTTTTCTTAAAGGATCTCTGTTTTTTTTTTATGTTTTGGGTTGGTACATCTTCACTCTTCTTTACAGAACAAAATTTTTGGTCTTCAAAACCTACGGTTCTGGAAACCTGGAAATATTGGTGTTACTAAAACGACGCAGTTAACAAATTTGTAACTTACATGCTTTCTGCCCATCTTTACTTTTTTAGGTGTATAGTGCAAACACTTTACGTTTGTTCGTGGAAGGGAAGCCGACAAAAACAAAACCGTCAAAAACTGGCAAGAAAAACCGATCGACCGGTGAAAAGAAAAAAGAATTAGTTGTAGAAAAAGAGCTAGTAAGACATGAGGTAGAAATTAAAAATTTATTTATTTGCTCAGTAAATTTTTATGTTATAGTAATTTATTAACAAGATAAGTGTATGGTAATTGTTGAAGACAATCTGAGACGGTTAAGACGTCTAATTATATTGCAGTTCAAAGTCGTGTCATTTTTTTCTAAAATTTAAATGAAATATGCGACCTGTGGTATCATCGGGTTTTCATTTTGAATCCCCGATACACAGTTTGCTAAATCATGACGTTGTCGATCATCCTATGACCTCGTGCTGTAGGATTTTTGCAGCAGCGCCACATAAAAAAGTTTTCCTCTTTAGTTTGTTTTTCTATAAAACTTAACATTCTCTGCAAATGTTCTCTTTTGTTAGTACAGATTGTTGTTACTTATATTAGTTAGCTGACTTATTTTTCATTAGCTTATGGTGGAAAAAACTTTATTATTCCAAATTGGTTCTGGTTTTTGTAGAAAAAAGTAGAAGAATTCACTGTTTCTCAGCAAGGTTCGATAACAACGGAGGAGACTAAACCACTTGTCAGCGAGATAAAACAGCAGAAGAAGAGGGGGAAGAAGCACACTACAGGTATACTGAACGATAATATCGGTTGAACTTGACTTTTATATTCACCTAAGCTTCACTTTTGTTTTGGTTGGAGTTAGTGATTTTCATAGGTTTTGTAAGAAGCATTAACTCTAGGCAAAAATTTATTTTCATACCTGTTTGCATCTGTTTCGCATTGTTTCAGCTTATATGAGTTTACTTTTTGTATTCCTTATTTTTTCATTTTAAGAGGAAGCTTCGAGACCACGGGATCTTCCGGAACAGGCTCAAACTGAGGAAGAATTAGGAGTTGAAAAACCAGTTGAGAAGAGGGCTTTACAGGACGAACATACAGAAGGTAATTTTTTTTAGGCGCGTAAAGCGGACGTCGCCGTATTTTAGCACAATCAGCGTTTGAATTTTTGAGCGCGTTGTGAAGTCGGTAGCACTTATAAAAAGCCATCTTCTGCAGGAGGATATCTTTTTTGCTCTTTTTTGTACTTGCAGTTACTGAAAGGAAAGGCAGGAAGAGGAAGTCGCAAAAATTGGAAGAGGTAGGGCTTCGAGTGGCAGCTGTTCAATCGGAAGATAGTGTTTCAGCAGCTGAAATTCCTGCTCAAACAACAGAGGGGAAGACTGAACAAATAAAAGTGTTGAAAAACAAGAGTAAGTTTAAGAATTACGAATTATCTCTAGCCCCTCTTTTCAAAGCATTTGGGACACTCAGGTAGTGGTCTTAATCACTCTCCTGGAAATAAGCTGTAGTACTAGGACTTTTGTGTTACTGTCAGACATATATTTCGAAGTAATATGCTATTAACTTTATCTGAGAAGCTTATTTTTGATTCAGGGGTCTTAATTTTAAATTCATTCCAGTTTCAACTCCAAGTCTTCATAAGGAAATCAATGAGGAATCTTGCCTTGATCATTTGAATGGAGTTGGAGTTGTGGGTGCTGAGTACCTTGCATTTATTGAAAAATACTTCGCAGACAATAATGCCGAGGTTGATTTAGTTATGTTTACTGTAACTTGTCTGGTTTTGTTAGGGTAAGTGGAAAATAATAGAAAAATAGGTGCTTTTTTGATTTGGCAAATATACTTAATCATTAACGCCTGAGATTTGAGCATAGCTGTGTTTAATGAAGTGCTTCATTTTTTTTCCTCTTGCTCTTGCTGTCTGTGAACAGATAGCACACTTTTAGCAAGGAGGCTATCTATTTAGAACTCTTGGACTACTTTGTAAAGCATTTCAGTTTGCTGTTGCGAAAAACGCTGTATTCACTATTCCAAGATTGTTTTGTAAAATAATGTGTTTCTCTTATGTGTCTGATTTTTAATTTTAGAAAATGAAGCTTACCGAGGAATTAGGGCTGATAAAAAAGCAGAGTGCAGATAGAGAAAAATTGGTTGCTCAGTGTTCAGAAAAGTTAGCGGTGTCAGTTAGGCAGGAGGCAGAAATTGAAAAGTTAAGGTGAATATTTTTATTGTTTCAACCTTGCAATTTTTGTCTCTATCTTTAACTTTTGACTTGGTGTAGTCACTTTCCATGAAGAACTTCAGTCTTACTACCAGAATCAGTTTTTAAAGGACTTATTACCGTTCGCGGCATAAATTTAGTAATTCTTATCACATTCTCTCAAAGTTTATGCGAGATTATGCCGTACATTTTGACTCCTTTTCTGTTCCAATGGCCATCTATAATTCAAGATTTTCAATTAGTAGTCTGGAAGACTATAGACTATTAGCGTCACAGTTTTGCTGTAATCAAATGGCTCTAAAAGATTTTCTTCATTTTGAGACACTTACTTGATGAAGAAAAGAAAAAGTATGAAAATGAGAAAAACAATGCCACGATGTTTGAAAGAACCGTAAGCAGTCAACTTGCTCAAAGTGTTCAGGAACGAAAACAGATGCAACAAGTTCTGGAAAAAGTATAATTTTTCATTTTCATCACTAGAGAGCAGAATTCACGCTTACATTTGTTTTTTTGTGTATATAATATTTGGCGTAATAGATATTATTCACAATTTCTCAGTTTTTTCTGGTATTCGTAATAAAAAACTTAGTTTTTTGGTAGTAATCAACTAAGTCGTATTTTAGCAAGCCGGAGAAATTAATACTTTGACGCAGGAGCTAAGAAAAGCAAATGCTGCAGTTCATGCTGCACCTCCTCTCGACGTTGTGAAGCAGGCAGAGCTGTTAAGAAATGTAATTGGAAATTCAGATTTTTAATGTTTAATTCATTCTTTATTTCTGCATCTTGATTCATTTATAAGTAGAATTTGTGCATTTTTTTTCACTTTTAGGAAGCCAACTCTTTGAAACGTGATGTACAGCAACGCGAATCAGAAATGAAACAGAAGGACCAGGTTATTGAACAGCTCATGAGTGAAACAAAAGTAAGATTTTAATGGGTATTCTGAGCATTAGAAGTGCTTAATCGTTACACATAAAACTTTTATATGCAAATAGAGTGTATGTTTTAGGAAACTCATGTAAAATGTAAACATTAGTAGTACAATGTCGGTTTTATTATCTTTTGTATTTTTAAGGAGCAGAAGAGAAAAATTGAAGTTTTAACCCAGTCCAATAGTTTGGCGGCACAACGAACTAAAGATATTGAGGCTCAGGCAGTAAGGTTTTTAGAAGTTTTTGTAGTGGTTGAAGAGATTTTTTGCAGTTATAAAAGATTTCTTCACATAAATTTTTTTTAGGTTCTTGTGAGGGTGTTGAATATATTATTTCGCTTATTATATTCCTAATATTTTAATTACAGGAAAATGCACGAAGAACTTTTGAAGAGAAATTGCAGCATGCTGATAAAACTGCAAATACTTTAAAAACAGCTATGGAAGAGAAAATTGAATTGATGGAAAGGATGATTGACAAGGAAAGACGCCGTAGTGCTGAAGTGAGAATTAGCTAAATTGGTGACAGTTTTTAAGTGCTAGAATAATTAAAAAATATTTTCTCTCGACTGTTTCTTGCTGCGT